TCTCTCTCTCTCTCTCTCTCTTGCTGTCTGCATGTCTCTCTCTCTCTGTCTCTTGCTGTCTGCATGTCTCTCTCTCTCTCTTTTGCTGTCTGCATGTCTCTCTCTCTCTCTCTCTTGCTGTCTGCATGTCTCTCTCTCTCTCTCTTGCTTCTTATATTCCCCAGTGACTTAACGTCAGTTCCTCTCAATGATGGTCTCTCTCTCTCTCTCTCGCTTCCTATGAACCAGCCCCTCTGACGGGTTTCTCTTTATCTGGCCGCGTGGCGACAATATGCGACGTCCACGTCGCGCAAATTGCGACGACCACGTGGCACAATGTGCGACGTCCGTGTGGCACATTCTGCTGTCGTTCGGTTTGCAAGCGTTTCAGGCAATCTGGCAGTGTCGCCGTCGCTGCGGCCATCGCCGTCGGGTTGGGATCTCCGATGTGTTCGTTATCGGCTTTGTGAGTGGATCCCGTTATCGTCATCATGCCATCGCCGTCGGGATCTCCATCTCCATCTCCATCGCCATCGCCATCTCCGTCGCCATCGGGATCTCCAGCGCCATCGCCAGCGCCATCGTCAGCGGTTCTTGTCCCGGGTATTGGCCATAGCCATCCAATGTGGTCGGTGTATTAGTTGAATCTGGTCTTGACATTGCTCAACGTGACACGTAGCGTATTATGTATGTACTATGTAGTATCACACGTCCTTTTTTTTTTTTTTTTTTTTTTAATTCCCAGCAAACAAAGTCGCATATATTCTGCGGGGCATCAGCCCGATCTCTTACTTATCACCGGCTTTGTTTGTTGGGAGTTAAAAAAAATAAAAATAAAAAAAGATAAAAGAAAGAAAGAGGAGGATGTAGCATCACAGTTTTTTTTTTTTTTTTTTTKTCTGTAGCATCACCACCCTTTCATTACGTCGTTTTTATTTTGTCGATGGAGATGCGCGAAGTTAAAGAAACGACGATGACGACAGTGAAAAATGGAGATGACCAAAGTTGAAAAACGGCGATACGTATGCGCTCTATTTGCAGGATTCGCTTTCGCCATCCTCTCCATTTTACTTTTTTACTTATTTATTATTATTATTATAAAAAAAAGGGGAAACATCCTCTCCATTTTACTTTCGTCCTTCTCCCTTTTTTTTTTTTTTCTTTTTTTTTTCCTTCCTTTTTTTTCTTATTTTCTGGTCAGATAGGCTTTGGCGGCCGACTGTTCGTAGTAAGTCTTGCGGAGGCCCGCCTCTCACATACCCAAGGGATGTGAGACACCACTCATCATTTGACAAAACCAAGAAGGATCTACCTCTTGGTCATCTCCATTTTTTACTTTCGCCGTCTCCATTTTTCTTTTTACTTGATCATCTCCATTTTTTTAAACTTTGGTCATCTCCATTTTTTAACTTTCGTCATCTCCATTTGTTACTTTCGCCATCTCCCTTTTTCATAAATGCCGTCTTCCATTTCTTACTTGGTGATCTCCATTTGTTACTTGCGGAGAAAAGACAGAGGGAAACTTTCTACTAACATGCGGAACGATATCATTTCTGTGCTTTACAAGAAAGGTGACAAGGCAGACCCTAGCATGCAGACTGAGTACTGTCCTCCCCTCGTTGGTCAAGGAGGACCAGTCTGCATTTGTCAAAGGAAGATCAATCTTCAATAATATTGTAACAGCGATACAGGCGCTAGAGGTTATAGCGAATGAAACCAGTGACACAATGGTCCTTCTTCTAGAGTCTAGAAAAAGCATACGACCGAGTTAACTGGTCATATGTGCTTTCTACACTGAAATGGTTGAACTTTGGGGATAATAATTTCTGCTCATGGGTCACTGCCTTGTATGTCCACTCTACCGCCGCCATTAAAAGCATACGACCCAGTTAACTGGTCATATGTGCTTTCTACACTGAAATGGTTGAACTTTGGGGATAATTTCTGCTCATGGGTCACTGCCTTGTATGTCCACTCTGCCGCTGCCGTGGTCAATGGCCAGATCTTGAACACTTTTCCCTTCACTCGCTCACGAAGACGGGGCTGTCCGCTGGCCCCGCTGCTCTTCGTGACACAACTAGAAGTCCTGCTGAACAACATTATTAGAGCAAGCCCCAATATTGAAGGTCTCCCAGTTGGCGCCACAGACTGTAGAGCCAAAGCCTTAGCAGATGATCTGCTGGCTATCTCCAGGAACTCCCCGGAATCCTTAGGCGCTCTTAAAGCCTGTCTGGACGAATGCTCTGCCCTTTAGGAGGCATCTGTTAACTGGCACAAATCAGCCTTTCTTCTGCCACAACAGCACACCGCCACAGTTCACTGGGGAATGAGGAGGATAGAATGGAACGATTCGGAGAGGTTTTTAGGTGTTCAAATTGCCCTCCTGGACTGCTCAGCAGACCAGGATGGTTTGGTCCTTCGAAAGGTCCTCCACAGGTTAGCAACCTGGGGGAAGGCCCCCCACCTCTCTATCTTCAGTAGAGCTTTAGTATTGAATGCTTCGCTCTTTGCACTTCTCTGGTTTGTGGGTGCAGTTCGAAGACTAGGCCAGCAACTTCTACCAGCAATGAAAAGACGTTCTGCTAAATTTTTATGGAAACCCTTTGCTGAAGAGCAGGATACTTTCATATCCAAGATAGCGTGGGATCTAATCTGCACCCCACGCCAAGAAAGGGGACTAGGCTTAACCGATCCGGACAGACAGAATGCCGCAATGATCGTTAGATGGATAGTTGGCGCCATGGACTCAGGAAGGCCTGATCATTGGATCCTGTTAGGAGAACAAATTTTGATGAAGGAGTGGAACCTAACCAGACCTCAGGACGTCTGGACAGCTCTCAAAGAATGGCGATCAAATTCCCTTTTTGGGCTCCTATCATCAAAGACTAGCACAGACTCAGACCAGATACGTGGGAGCAACCGGTCCCGAAGCAGGAAGTCCTAAATGAGCCTATTTTTGAAAACCCTCACATCCGCGACTCCTCAGACCAATGGTTGAAGGCGGACACGTCACCAGGCAGCTTCGGCAGAACATGGATGGAAAGAGGC